GGTTAGGGCAAAAGCTCTATTCTTTTCTCTTATAAGAACACTAATTCATCATGGTGGGCCCCACCCTCATGATTCCATCGATCTAAACTTAATCACCTTCCAAAGGCCCTAACTCTAAATACCATCACATTGGGGATTACACTTTCAGCATGAATTTGAGGTGGGGCACAAATATTCAGTCCATAATAGCCCTGAAGCCCAAGACTGAATTTGTTGTTTTTCTAGTCTAGTTGTTTACATTTGTATTTTATACAGTGAGTGCTTTCCCTAGAACTGTTACAGTTTTAATAGGAAGGCTATGGTTTAGCCTGGTCAAATCTTCTGCCCCCTGAAGACTTTAAGAGGATTCTGGATTCAAGGAATTGTTAGCAAGGAAACCCTTAAATTACTGTTATTATTTTTGATGCAAGACCTACTACTGTTCTACTCTATGAAATGGGCTTGCTTCTCTTTGGCAGTAAAGAAGCCATTTCTCTTCTTAGTCAGAAGAAATGATAGGTATATGCTACATGATGATCAAATGATTGTTTCACTACTGTAATGCAGCTTTAAGTTAACCTTGAAAAAATTAGTACAGCCTATGTATTAAAATACCAACGTGCTTTGGTCACTAAAGTACTCTCTCAATGTGAAATAAACTCAGTAAGACAGTATAGACTGTTACATTTATTTTCTTAATGTTGCTTTTATCAGTACTGGACATATGGAGGCTAAAAATGTATGGCTTTTTATGTTTGCATGTATAGAAATGTAGCTTCATTTATTTATTGTGGCTTTTGTGTTAAAATTTGTCATACATTATTTTCCTCTTATTAAAAAAAACTGAAAGGAAATATAAAATGTATTAAATTAAGCCAGTAAATTAAAATGATTTTGGTATGTATTGGAAGACAGATATTTTACAGATGCCTTCTCTGTCCCTGATAAATGTTCACAGTTAAATGGGAATGAGATCTCCCCAGGCAGAAGTGGACATTCTGCTAATGAAAGAACACTAGAAGCCCAAGACTTGTGAACAGAAAGGGGAACAGAAGGGATGTTCTACTGAAACGATTTCTAGAATTGTGTTGGTGGCTTAGATATTAATGTTTAGTTATAATATTGAAAATTTTAAGGGTGTGGATATCTATCTAATCTCCATCTGTTTATCTTTTTAATAATTCTCTCTCATATATCCTACCTATCCTCTCCCCTCCATTTTTAAAATTAAGGAACTGGCTAGCAGAATTATGAGAAGGGATATATGATAATGTCTAGCACTTTGCCTACTAATTATTAAAAATGTTCACATTTATTGTATATATGGGGGGTTATGTTTATTTTTGTGGTGTTTTGTTTGTTTGTTTGTTTGTTTTTTTGCAAATAGCCACTAACTCATAGGTTGGGGACAATGTAATGGTTCACATTACATTTTAAGCATTAATTTCAGTCTGATTTGAGAGTATAACAATGATTAAGTTTGAATGACAGGGTTTGAATGGTAAGTTTGAATGTTTTTGTAGAAACAGAACCATCTCCTTGTTGGTAAATGCAAATATTTGAACTGAAAGGAAAATCATAATAGAGAATGAAAAATTAAAAACCAGTGCGAATAGATGTTCTATCAAAACATTTACTCCATTGAATTAAAATTCAGACTGCTTTAAAAAAGTTTCTACGTTTGCTTACACATTTTTTTCTTCCCATCTCTAATTGAAGAGAAAACATGCCACTAAAAACCAAACCCGTTTCATATTATTTCTCACCTACCTACTTTGGTTGGCATTCATCTTCAGAGCTATTTTAAGGGTAAAAGTTGAAGTGGCATGAATGACTTTGCAATTTGAAGGTAAAAGAGAGCATGCTTGAAGGTGGGTTAGGGTTAGGGCAAACTATCCTAACCAACCATTAGAAGATACTGTTAAGGAGAAAATTGCTCCTAGATGTAGCAACTGAGGACTCAACTCATTCTGCTAAGCAGCAGCTAGAATCAGTTTGCCTAGGTAATATTTTAGCAATAAAGTCTGAAAATTATGCAGATCACCACAATAAATTTCTTTTTAAAATATTAAATTTATTGGGGTGACATTGGTTAATAGGATCATACAGGTTTCAGGTGTGGATTTCTATCTTACAAGATCTGTGTATTGCACTGTACCACTCAAAGTCAAACCATCTTCTGTCACCATATATTAGGTCCTTTTCGCTTCCTTCCCCTTTCTTCTGGCAAGCACCACACTGCTGTTTGTGTCCACAAATTTCAATTTTGTATCCCACATATGAGTGAAATCATATGGTTCTTAGCTTTTTCTCCCCGACTCATTTCACTTAGCATAATACTCCATGTTGTCTCTAATGGCAGTGTTTTGTCTTTTCTTATGTATGGCTGAGTAGTATTCCATTGTGTATATGTACCACATCTTCTTTATCCAGTCCTCTATTGAAAGACATCTTGGTTGTCTCCAGGTCTTGGCCACCATGAGTAATGCTTCAATGAACATAGGAGTGCATATATCTTTGTGGTTACATGTTTTTTAGTTTTTCGGGTCTATACCCAGGAGAGGGATTGCTGGAGCATATGGTAGCTCTAGTCTTAATTTTTTGAGGAATTAACTCAAAATAGATCAAATGCCTAAATATAAGATCTGAAACAATAAATTATATAAAAGAAAACATCAGAACTAAACTTATAGACCTTAGTCATAGAGAACATTTTATGGACTTGATTCCAAAGGCAAGGCAAATAAAGGCAAAAATAAATGGATAAATTCTTACAGCCTTCTCCTTTCCCCTTACCACTCTTCCACCCCTGGGACATCAGGGATTTGGGGTAAAGGACAGGACTCACGAAACAAAATTTACTCAGTTTACATGCCAGATTCTGTGGATTTCTTTGTATTTCCATAGCATCTTAGAAAAAGTGGTATTAGAGTTTTTAGCAAACTAACATATATGAATTGTAAGTTTGCTTGTCTGCCATCTCTCAATAAACTCAATGGAGACAGAAGTATGATCTTCTTGGGTTCCCTCCTCCTGTACCTGGAGGGCAGATTATAAGTTAGACATGGGTCACAGCTACTTATTTTGTGTGCTGTATTAAGTATATTAACAGAGTGAATGAATATATGATGTTCTTCCATTTGTTTGTCTAAAAAGTGCCACCCATCTCTTTTCCCCAAACAAAAGTTTTATCCCTTCCAAGTGATAAACTTGAAGGTTCTACTTATCCTTCATATTTTAACATATCTTTCTTCTCTGAAGCTTTCCCCTAACCCAGTGTTTCTCAACCTTCCTAATGCTGTGACCTTTTAATACAGTTCCTCATGTTGTGGTGACCCCCAACCATAAAACTATTTTCATTGCTACTTCATAACTGTAATTTTGCTACTGTTATGAATCGTAATGTAAATATCTGATATGCAGGATGTATTTTCATTGTTACAAATTGAACATAATTAAAGCATAGTGATTAATCACAAAAACAATATGTAATTATATATGTGTTTTCCGATGGTTTTAGGCGACCCCTGTGAAAGGGTCATACGACCCCCCAAAGGAGTCGCGACCCACAGGTTGAGAACCGCTGCGCCTAACCTCTTTTCCCCTCTCATTGGGACAGAGTGTAGCACTTCCTTCTCAGTTTTCATTGTACTTTTTTTTTTTTCAATTTCTCAGTTGTAGCTATTACATTATGGCTGTTTATGTATTTGTCTATCTTTATAAAATTGTGAAGTTTTTTGTGAATCGGCACCATGTATTAATTGGGTTGGTTTTATCAGCAATTGGAATAATTAATGCAAAGCATTGATTTAATATTTATAAATAAATGAATCAAAATTTTAATTTCCATGGTAGTTTTCTGGAAGGCAAGCTTGCTGTTTGAGACACAAAATTGAGTAAGACTCTTGCCTTCTGGAAACTCACGGTTTATTCATTGTTCAATCAGTATTTATATGTAGTGTGCAAAGCATTATGCTTAGGTGCTAAGGAGATGGTCATAACGATCCTTGCATAAAGAAACTAGTGGGGTATCATGACCTTTGATTCATAGTATTTCATGCTATGTATTGGTGTTTCCTAGGTAATTTTAGTCTGTAATCAACCTGTAAATTCTATAGAAACAATAGGATGTTCAGATTAACTGCCTAATTCTAACCTTATGCTGCATGTATGTTTATCACATAGTTACAGATTGGCAAAGGAGGAGTGATGAAGACCAGAATGATATAGCACACCCAAATATTTTCCTGATTCCATAAGCCTGGTTTAATTATACTTGAGGCTGGCATTACTGATTATTCATAAATAATGGTGGTAGTAGATTTTTATCTTCAATGCTTTTAGTGCTTCTTAGTAGTCTTGTTATAAACAAAACCATGATTTACGCTTTTTAATATATGACTAATTCATTAACTCTTCCTAGTTCTAACACATTTCTAATATTTACAACTTTGACATAGAGTTTAATGTTGCCCTGAATTCTCCAGTTTCTGAATTCTATATATTTCTCAGTCCTAAGTGAAAGCACTTAATTTGAAGGAATTTTGACATAGCCACTAAAGTTCTATAGATTTCATTATCTTCTGAATTTGGACTTAAACCATAGTTCCATTCTTATATAATATCCATGAATATAAACAGTAGCTTCATATTTCTCTTCTTCCAGAGCGAGTATACATGTTAGTAACATATTTGGAATTTGATGTAATTGACAAATTTGGTTCTTTTGGAGAAAATACATATGCATACAATAACATATGATTTGCAAAAAATTCCATGGATGCAAAATATTTAGAATTAAAGTTTCAAAACACCTTAGTACAGAAGGAGTTAACAGGTTAGCTCCCCTTGGTTGTTCTCAGTATGCTCTTTTGCTTTTAGGAGCTGAAAAGATGATAACATTGGGTCTGGACATGCCTGTGTGGAGGTTATGGTACTCCTGGGGTTTTTTGCAGCTAGCTGTAAAGCAAGCTAGAACTTGTTCATCTCAGAGTTCCTTGTTTTTCTTTCAACCCTTTCAGTGCCCTGCAGGAGTCATTAAATCAAAACTTCATGCTGATCATCACCCACCGAGAAGTCCAGCGGGAGTATAACCTGAACTTCTCAGGAAGCAGTACCATTCAAGAGGTGAGTTATGTCTCACAGCTAAGGAATAAAGGTAGCTCATTATAACTAATGTTGACCCTGTTAAAGAGGGCTTATCTATTCTGGTTGGAAACTCTCTTTATGTTTCATTATTGGGTTCTTAAATTTAATTAACTGGAGCATCATGATTACTGTAGACATATTAAGTGATTTGACCTAGAAAGACAGTATTGTAAATGGGAGCTCTTGATAATTCTTAAAATAGTCACCTTAAAACTCTGCTTAAAATATTCATTATTATGTAATATATTTCATAGTTTTATAGTAATTATTCAAAATATTAATCTGGAAATTGTTGCCAGCATGCATTTTCGAACATGCATGCATTTGAAATATATTAATTAAAATGTGTGCCTTGCCTGTTTCCAAAAAGAATTTGAGGAGGCTTTTTTTAAGCAGCTCAGTGCCAGTGTTGGAGTAGCATTTGAGGAATGCTGATGGAAATTTTCAGTCATTCAACTCAGAATATCTGAGAAGAGTCTTATAGTCAGAATTCTTTTTCTTCTATGTAGCCAACCAGGGCCACTGTTTTAAAAAAGAACCTCCCCCAAGAAAGAAGAGGTATCTTCTTGCCTGTGACCCCACCTACCTAAAAGCCAGTAATTTATCTCCATGGGGGGAAAGTGTGTTAGGCTATGACAGGACTTATGTTTAGAAACACTGAAATGATGATTACGTCACATTTCCCTTTGTAAGTTGTGAAGACATCAATCATTTTGTCTGCTAATGTTTTTATAAAGAGAATTAAGCATATATATTGAATTATATATTGAATTAACTAAGAAAATTTAGTTTCAAAATAACTCCAGTTTAATCAAGAAAAACAAAGATAATAAGAGGTAAATTTTATTCTGTTATTTTTTTAATTGAAGACTAGTATAATGCATTATGGATAAATATAAATTGCTTTATTTGTTTTTCTGAATGAAACTTTTATTGCTAAAATGTTACCCTTTTTTTCATTTCCAGTTTCTGTAGTTTGAGTGTATTTCTGCTTTTTCCCACAAGAGGGCAGAAAGGACTATTAAACCGATAATCTAAAAATGCCATCCAATGTTTTCAAATTAGCTTTTCTTATATTAACAAAAAGGAGCATAATGGCCAAATTATTGTTTGATTTATAGATAATTGGCATATTGCAGGGAGGAGACTTAATTTCACCCTTTTAAATTAAACAGGGAGATTTAAAAAGACATAAAATATTCATTAATGTTCGGTGATTATAAAGTAGTGGCATATATTTATTTTGCCTTTATTACTGTTTCGATGGGAAAATACTGCAAATATTTCCGAAATCGAGTTGGCCATACTGACAAGTTGAAATGTTTAAGCAGCATTAATGCAATCTGCTCACACCTGATATCCTATGCAGAATGATTCAAAATGACTACATCAATTATTAAAAGAAATATTTAAAATTCTGTAAATGTACCATTATACGCCACAGTTGGCTGAAACTGTTCTTCATGGCCTGCTGTCTAGGTTACCAAATACAAGGACTTGAAAACAGTAAATTTTTTTCATATCATTTTCTAAATGAAAAATGTCCCAGAAATATTTTTGCAAAGACCGATATTCTTATGTATTTCTTGGTAAGAATTTGGTTTCTTCTGTTTCATTTTTCTTTTTCTTCTTTTTAAAAAAAATTTAAAGTAATGCTTTGAAATTCTTCTTGCCAAGAAGAAATAAATCCAGTTGTTTCTAATATCAGTTGCTTTTCTGTGTGTAAACCAGGTACACATAGGCTCTTTATTCTTGTACAGTTTAGAAAAAGGACATGGATTATTCTCTTTAAGCCTTGGATCACACCCTTTAGGTCTAATCCTAAAACTTCCTCTTTTAACTTGTGGAATACCCGGTGAGGTGGAGTTTCACAAGGATAAGATGCTATTATGCTACAGCCATGTAACCTACAGTAACACCTAAGTTTTTGTTTTTGTGCATGATTGAAAGTCAGTTTGCTATAATCTTAAAAAGCTTTTCCAGTGTTATTTTATAAATGCTAGAATTTTTGCTGTTAATGTGGAAGCTTAATGATACCATATATCCTAAATTGTAAATTAATTTCTGTCACCAGTTTCAGATATCTCTTTTCAGTATTTTTAAATAGACTCAAGCATGAATTCTGATCAGTATGTAAAGAAAAGTTAATTTTAAAAATGATACAGATTTATTTTCCAGTGTTGTAGTATATTATCCTTGTTATAGGAGAAAATAGTATGCCATTTTTTAGTAATTTTAATTTTTGAAAGCCTTGCATTTTTAAAAGAAAGCGTTTGTAATATTTTTCCCTTTCTATTAAATGAAATAGAGTTGAAAAAGGCACTATGATCTCAACTTTTAGTGAAACAAAATACATTTTAAAAAAGATTGAATTAGAAAAAAGAACTTAAAAGCAGTTAGAATTTCAAACAAACTCTTCAGTGACCATATGTTCATGCAAGTTAATAGTGATAAACTGAGTTGTACAAGTGTTTGTTCATTCTGGTCTGTGGTTTCTTACATGTCTACGTCTTTTGAAAGCTCTAGATTTTAATTTAAGCTAGTTAGATATCGAGGTGTGTGTTTTTGTTGTTGTTGTTGTTTTTAAAGCTCTTTATAAATCCTTCCACTTATATTACCCTCCTACTTGAGGAAAAGGCAGAGATAATATAAAAAGGTCACAATGGAGAGTTACAAGTAGTTATAAAAATAAATATCCTTTCTCTTTTCCATTATGTGAAATAGTTTGTAAAATATCTAATAATAGAACAATAACTTTGTAATAATGTCTTTTTACCTTTTTGGTTTCTACATTACTTATTTGTCACACTTTAAAATAGCGAATTTCCTTGAAAATTTAAACAAGCTTACCTTATCTTAATGGATAGTCTACACAGAGAATTTAGCTTTTTAAACAGTTAATTGTGCAGACTCTAGTAATTCTGTATAATACTATTAAAGATCTGTGGTTACAAATGCACTTGGGATTGGTTAAATTAAGGGGGGGCGGGGAGAGATTGATTTGCCTACTGCAAATCCTAAACCCAGGTGTAAAGTCTCTGAAATCAAGCCAACTTTTCTTGGAAAAGAATTCTTTGTTGTCCACCTTACTACTGCAAAGCTTCTAATGGGCAGAATATACACTTTTCTTTGTACATGTTATACACGTTTAAGAAATACAAACATGACCCAGAATAACAGTGATAAGAAACCTAAGTATTTTGGGTGTGGAATCATGAAGTATTTCCTATCTGTTACAGCAAGAAGCATGATGAATAGCTATTAGAATTATTTATATCCTCTTCCAAGTTTCACTTTACCTTAGAATTCCTCACTGTTTTATTAATGTTGATTTAGTTCTTAATAGGAATAAAGGAAAAATTGACAAACTATAAAGATATTTCTTGCATGGAATAGTAAAACATTTCACTACTAATACTAGTGATTATCATATGGGAAGCCAACAATTTGAATTAGCAATAAGAAGATAACTAAGTTCATAAATCATACTAGTTCTTAAAAATAATTTTGGCTAAATGTGAAATCATGAAGCTAATTCTGATTCAAAACTTGTGTTGGGTTTTGTGTCTTTTTTTCTGCATGCTACTTTCTCAACTTGCTTGGCTAACATGTATTTCTAACTATTCTTTATTGTTGAAGTTCATTAACAGTAATTAAATATGTAGTTTTTTTTATAGATTGTACTAATGGGCAATTTTCTAGTTGTGAGTTGACTATTACTTCTTAACTAGCATGCCCTTTCTGTAAATGTTTTAGGTGTAGTGGTTTTTGTTTGTTTGTTTTCCAGTTTGGGGGTAGGGTGGAGGATGCTGGCACAGAACTCAAGACCAGGGTAGCTTAGAATGTGCATATGCAAGAGGCTAAATTAAACTGTGTGCTTATTTAATTAAAAGTTTAAGTAGTTTAATTTTATTGCAAGAAAAATGGCATAAATAAGCTCAATTTGAATGAACCCATTTTAATTACAGTATATCATAGTTTGATTTTTTAAAACTTGAAATCACAAATGACATTTTAGCAAGAATGAAAGAAATGTAATTTCTTCTGCAACTGAGCAATGAATTAAGCCTTTATTCAGCTTTCAGAAAAGGAGAATATGAGTTTCTTTCAAATATACACGTATATTATTAGTTTCAAGTTATATTTTATAACAGATTTGTTGAAATTTTACCGTTTCAACTGAACAAATCAGTAATGACCATTTTATAAATGTTGAGGTTTTTTGTGATTCTTAATAAATTATTCTCTTGGGAAATAAATTTAAGTAATATTTACAATGCAGTCATTTGGAACTGACAAGTCTTTTTCTGCCTCTGAAAGTATTTTAGAGTAATTTCTATTGGAAATTATTTTTAGCCCCTGTAAGTGTTTCTTCACCTTCATTTCAAGAAGATAGAAACAATGAATTTTTATTAGGAATTAAGGACAATCTTTTAGTCCTTTGTTACTTAACATATGTGTATTCTGACATCTACTTGGCTGACCACATTTCATAATCTGTGATTTGTGGGTTGGTAGTTTTAAAATGCCTGGGTTAGGAGAAATTATGTTCGGTTATCAAAAACTAATAAACATAAGACATTTTTATATACAAGAAAAGGCAGAGAGTAAATAATTGCACTGGTGACCAATACTGTAATAATCCTGTTTTACAATATGCACTTGACAGGTTGTAATAGTGCTAATTGAAGAGACTAATTCACACTTGCTTCATTCTATTCAAAGGCAAAATCAGCAGCTTGTTTTGCTTTTGACCAGATGGTCCTCATGAACACCTACTGTGCACTTTAAGTGCTTTACTAGAATTACAAAGGCTGGGGGCTGCGTTCGACTCCAAATGATTTTGAGAAGAGAGAGAGAGAGAGAGAAGGAGGGGGAAAAAAAACCCTTCTGTGCTCAATGGATTTGGTGCAAGTAAATTAATTCTAGTGGGCCCATTACACACTGAGCCCCCTTTTCAAAGCTCTGAGCCTCCTCGC